TTTTTTTTTTTTTTTTTTTAATTTGGGCTTTATTTTTTTGCGTACTGTACTATATTGTAAAAGGGATTTTAGCAGAGACTTTAGTCTTTGGGGCAAGAGGAGAACAGGAATGCTGGCTGTTTACTTTAGGTGGAGAATCCATCTTCAGACCTTTGGACTATTTTCTTTCAACTCCAGTGTATAGAAAAACCAAACTACGACCTCAGAGCAGAGTATTAATGAAAAGCACAAAAAAAGGAACTAAGTTCAGTGAGGGGTTGGGGGGAGGGGGGAGTTTTTCTTTTTAAAAATAATGAAGCTTAGGACGTTTGTTTTTCAGTCCAAGTGCTCCTCAGCACTGTCTGTCTCCCGGTATGCCAACCCACCGTCATGTTCTACTCTTGTTTTCTCTCTCCCCTTTTGCCCCTTCCCCTCGGTTAAGTGTGCCTCCTTCCCTCGTTGCCCCACTGGTGACCCTCTGCTTCCCTCCTCTCTTTTTCCCTTTGGCAGCTGCAATACACGGTGTTGGGGAAATAAATCTGGTGAAGCCTCGTCCTCCCTCCAGGGCAGCCCCTCGGCTGGGAGGGGAGATCTGTCCTTGGGATGCTCTCTGGTCTTCTCTTCCCCTAGTCTTTCTCTTCCCCGACTTATCCTTCCCTGCCCACTTCATTTTCTGTTCTCCTTTTATTAGGAATTACCAAGTGAATTTTATTAACGTGGGAGTGGAGCAGATGCTAAAAGCTATCCAGGATTTTGTTTTTGTTTTGTTTTAAATTTTGTGGTTCCTTCCCTTTCCTCCTCCTCCCATGCGTAAAACGTTCTGTGTAACCTCCATTAAATTTGGTACAAAACCACTCGCCAGAGCTGTGGTGTCGGAAAAATAAAATATATTGTTTCTTACAAAATTGAACTGCATTTTATGTTTATTTGGATTCCTGTTTGTGTAGTGTGGGGCATGCCGGCTGCCACGTGAACCAGAAATATAGAACTTTCGTGTTGGGCTTGGTCTTAAGGTCCTGGGTAGGACAAGTGTGCAAAAGTGCCTTCTCACGTTATAAAGTGCGTGCCTTGCTACTGAGGAAGAACGCTCACGGAGCTTCATCATGTACTGTGCCTTGCTCAGTCATGAAATCCTGATCCCACTGCTGAACTTGATCTCTGGGGCAGTTAATGGTCTTAATAGGCATTTTTGTGAGGGCCAATTGAAGTAATTAAAAAACCAAAGGTATATTTTTAGTTATTTGAGTAAGCTTAGAGATATATTATTACTGTACTTGCAAGTCACAGGTGTCACCGTCTGAGAGTTTCTGTGGTCCCCCCCACCCCCGGTGCTGCCTCTCTACCTCACCACTGGCCCCCAATACCTCTGCCAGCCCTGCTCCAGCTGTGTGCAGCTCACGTCCCACCCCACACACCTCCAGCGGGTCAGGGTGCATCCTGCCAGGTGTGTGAGCACACTGTTAAGCGTCTGTGCAGTTAATTTTGTTCTGGTGTGTGTATTTCTTTGCGTTGTAGGCATTTTGGGCTCACCGGGTGGGCGTCTGTTTGCGTGTTTGTTCTTAGGTGGGAGAATCTGAGCAAGGAACGGCAGGTGCAGAGTCATCTGCAGACAAGCTCAGACAAATGGGGCTCTGCTGGTGTTTCGCAGTCTGAGTTCTCGCTGACAATTGTTTTGAGAGCTGTTTTCTCTTCCTCCTTCTGTGGCCCTATCTTCTCAGTAACACAAGTGCCCCAGGCAATAACAAAATGTGGAGCTGATGTTTGACTGGTCACTCTTCCAGTCACCTCCACATAATCACCGTGCTGAGCTTTGAGGGGCCCTGTGAAGGGTGTGGTAATATCTCATCTGCAGATGAGAAAACCGAGCTCACAAATTAAACAATTCAGACTCAACGCAATCTATTCTGTTGACGCTGAGTGGTGAAAGTTTATTTTGCAGAGAAATTAGCATAGTAAAATGAAGATACATTTCATGAATTTAGTCATGTATGGAAAAGAGTAGGGGGACAGCTAAGCACAGGGGCACAAGACGAGGACCTGAACAAAGTTTGTCCACAGTCTTGCTTTTTGGTCAGCTCCCCTCCTTGCCGCATGTAATCGCACTGCATTCGCCATCATGCATGGCCATGTTGCTATTTTACCAGATAAGGAGGCAAAGCAGGAAAGGAACGCAGAGCAGGTACTCACTTTGAGGGTGCCAAGAGATGGGGTACCCTTGCAGAAGCAGCCAGAGGCTGCTGGGGGAGGCCAGCGTGGCGCATTCCCTGCCTGTGGCCGCCTGTCAGAGAACTCGTGGCAAAGTAAATCAGCATTCCCCCCGAGAAAGTTTTTTAAAGGCCCTGTAATAAATCTTCAATTTTCCTTATCAGCATATGCCAATATTTCATCACAATGATCCATGATACACCAAGTTTATTCAGAGTTTACATATAACAATTTCTAATTTTACTAAGATTGTTACCAAAAAAAAAATCACATTTTGAGAGACTGGATGCTATCCTATGGAGAACTAAGGATGCAAGATTTTTAAAAAATCAGTGTAAGAGTGATAAATGTTTTTTATATTAACATAATCCGGTGACAGTCCAGCCAGTCTTCTCTTCCTCCTCTCCCAAATTTTGGGATTGAATGAAAGAAATGCAATAATGACTTGTTCATTTCAGGGAAAAGTAGTGGGGTGTGAGTTGTAGCATTTTTTTTTATAGCATCATTTCTTAAGGAGTGATGAGGAGTATTTTCCTAAAATGATGTAAAATAAAATAATTAACTTTTTAAAATGTTCTGCATTTATAAATGAAAACGAACAAATGTATTATGATTAGGGGTCTTATGAAGGGTGTGGCGTGACATTTTAAAACAGCAATTTTACATATTAAAATTTATTTTATTAAAGCTACTCTTAAAAAATGGACCCAGGATTTCTCTCACCCTCCCCTCCTTGCTCTCTTACATGTCTTGAGACCGTAGGCGTGATGCAGCTGCCGCCACGTGCCACCTGTGCAGCGGAAAGGACCTTGTCATGGTTTAATGTGCTACCTACACTGTTTGAAATTCTTCATTGTTGAGGATGAAGGCCCATCCCACCTGTTGAACAAGTGATATCTCAGCAGCTCCTAAGTGGTGTCAGGATCCTGGTCTCTACATGTACTCTTTTTTTCTTTTCTTTTTTTTAAATTTTGAGATAGCATCTTGCTCCATTACCCCTATAGAGTGCAGTGGCATGATTATAGCTCACTGCAATCTCAGACTCCTGGGCTCAAGCAATCCTCAATAATTTGTGTGTGTGAGTGTGTGAGGTCTTGTTATAGCTCTGTCTGGTCTTGAACTCCTGACCTCAAGACTTGGCCTCCCAGAGAGCTAGGATTACAGGTGTGGGCATTTATAGCACACCTGCTCTGTGTCAAGAACTGCACAAAGGCTGGGAGGAGGAAGCAGCTGTGTGAATCAGTTATTACAATACTATACCCTGATTACGACAGGGACTGGGTGCACAGGGTGCAATAGGCCAAAGAGGAAGGTTTCCTTGAAGCCTCAAAGGAAAGGTGAGTTTTGGACGACTCTTGACTTTTAGAATGTTAAAAGAAAGCATTTCCTTGAGGATGGGTGTGAGCATTTATGCAAAGGAAGGAGGAAGAGGGAACCACAAGCGCCTGCTGATGGAGTGGGCTTCTTAAGGGAGACTGAGCCAAGAAATGAGCCTAGGGAAAGGGAGCGTCCTGGGAAGCCCAGTCAGTGTGGCAGTCCAAAGAGTTTGAATTTCAGTTTTTAGCAAGGAAGAGAATCAGATGTCCAGATTGGCTGTTTAGGATTAACCAGAGCTGTGGAAGATAGCCTGGGGGTGGGGCAAAAGAACCACAGGAAAATCATTTGCAAAACTTGCTTATTCTACAAAATCCTTAAGCTCAGACTCATCCCTCTTGCTTTAAATAACATCAAATAGTATCATTTTCCCCATGCTGTTTAGACAACTTGAGCCTCACTGCCACTTTCTTTCCTCTAACCCAGAACCATTAGATTTTTTTCTAAGTTGCAGAACCTTATATTTAAGAAAAGTCATGAAATTTTAATTTGGTAGGAAAATTTAACAATACATTTAAATAAATAGTTCAGACAGCACAAAACTAGTTTATGGGCAAACATTTCATATATTTTTTGAGAACATTTCATATTTTAACATAAAATACTGTTAAAAGGTATGCTATGGGGATGGTAAGGAAAGCTGTCTTTCTACTGAACATGGCTTCTTATCCATGTTACCGTTGGACATGGGTCTGTTTCTTAACTCAGGGCTTAATTGTGCTTGGCAAATACTACTGCATAAGAAGACAATGAGTATATGTACAATCGTAGGGAGAGATAAAGAGAAGGTTCAGAACGTATTTCCTTACACATATTTAAAGCATGGAAAAACTCACTTATTTCACCAAACAAAGAAGAACCTAGGCTTCCCTTGCACAAGACCTGCTCAGGCCCCGTAAGCAATACTGTGGGACCCTGGGTTTCAAAGACAGAGCAGATTAAAAGACCCTAGCTCTGCTGTGCTGATGTGTGGCTCTGAGAGATTTAGTTTCTCAGACCTTGCAATCTGCATCTAGACCAGTAACCCCTTGTCATGAGGCCCTGAGGCAAAATAATCCCCCAAAAGCACTAAGGTGGATGCTTCCTTCTGCCCACAGCTCTGTGGTAGCCACACTCTTTTCACCAATGGGCTGAGGGCAGAGGCAGCTTACAGATCTCAATGGTATCCTGTGTACAATTATTAATTAGTGTTGAAGGTTAAGTTTTTTAAAACTTTT